ATATATATATATATATATATGCTATCCATTCATCATAATGTAAATCATTTTAATGTAAACAGTCTTTAAAGAAGCCGCAAGTTAGTTTGGTCGCTAAGAAAAGTAAAAACGATCGAGCGGAAGGAAGGCGATTTTGAGTGATCGGAATAACGGATGATGAGATAGTTCACGCTGAGTTGACGTGCTTTATGAATGAGATATTAGTGATATAGCAAGGTAAAATTTTAAGATGCTTAGGATTAAGTGAGTCTGACTGCGTGAAAGATACAGATAGGCAAGAAGCAACCTTACATAAAGAGTTCTTATTCCATTAATCCATCGCATTTCCTGCGTCATGCACATCATCTGTCCGTTCATCGATTACATATTCATAACGTAAATACATGGTTGCAATTAATTAATGGAATGGATAGATGGATAGGTAGATGCATGGATGATTAGATTGCTAAAAATCATCACATTATATGTTCATGTGTATAGTAATAACAATAACAATGTTAATAATAATAAAAATGATAATAATAATAGCAATAATAATAATAACAATAATAATAATATTAATAACGAAATGCACTCTCACAAATAGATCACTGCAATCGAAGTGACGATTTCAAGAGATCCAGATGAGCGCTTACTAACTATTCATTTTTTGCAGTGTCCAACGTGCGGCAAGTGCTTCAATCGTTCATCAACACTTAATACGCATATCCGAATTCATTTAGGTGAGATGAACGGTGATAGATGTTTTCACCCATTCTTTTTTTAATGACATGATCGTAACGTTCACTTTTAACCCTTTAACCACTTCATGCATCTGTCTATAAGACTGCATCAACTCAGTCTTATTTGCAGGATATAAACCGTACGTATGTGAGTTATGTGGTAAAGGTTTTCATCAGAATGGTAATTATAAGAATCACAAGTTAACGCATAGCGGCGAGAAACGTTTCAAGTGTGCCGTATGCAATAAAGCATTCCATCAAACTTATAATCTTACTTTTCATATGCATACGCATCGTGAACAGAAGCCATTCCAGTGTGCGATCTGCACAAAAGGCTTCTGTCGTAATTTTGATCTCAAGAAACATATGCGTAAATTACATCTGATCGCAGCTGCGGCCGCTACCGCTCATCATCTATCGAAATCGTCAGATATCTAGCATATTGATATCAGTTGAGATACATGGAAAATAATCATTATTGTTAGTATTATCTTACTTGTAACTGTTATCGTATGAACATTATTGTTGTTTTCTGATCATTATTTCTTTCGTTATTCATTTATTATTTCCGCTTCTCAACCTAATTATTTATGTTCAAGCATATATACATATATAGATTCTAATTTATTTATTCTCTCTCCTACTACTGTGATAAACGTTTTTGTTGTGAATAATAGTGATTACACATGAAAATTATTCAAAAGATTGCTGACGAAAGAGGAAAAGAAAATGTCTTGTAATAAATAAATAATGCGTAAAATCATCTCGAATATACTTTTCGTTTCTTATTGTTATTCTATCGATACAACATCCATCAGTAGATTATATATCAATGTATGTAATCAATCAATCAATCAGTCTCGTGTTAGGTATGTGGATGGACGGATAATCGAATGGTTTTGTAGGTGCTTTTAGTATGGGAATGAGAGGAGAACGGGAGGAATGAAAGGAATGGACAAAAGAGAGGGATCATTTGAATTGGATTCGTGTTAATGCACATGAAAAGTGATCGGTAAAACGATTTGCTGAGCACAATTAATTTTATCGTTTGTAACAATAGCATCTATTGCAAACAGTGAACAGTTCTGTGTCGCTTCCATAAAAAATGTCGCCAGGTTTTTTGCTGCTAGTTCTGTGTTGCTTTTGTTGAGCAGCAGCCACATCACCGGATATACGGTAAATTTAGCTAGTGTCACTGAGCGTTACGCCTTCTTCCAGCTGCTCACTAGCCATATCTGTCGAACGAAACACCTCAAAATCAATCATTGAATTATGCATTTCAATGGTGATGCCTGCCTGCCAAAGGCGTTTTTGCAGGAATTTAATCGGTGAAGCAAGAATCATATGTGTATTTATTTAGATCGATTTATGTTGTGTGTTACATATTTGAGTGCGGTGCCCTTTATCATTCACCATTTCATTCAATCGCATTTAATGAAATGCACAAGAATCGCTTTTTGATTGATTGTTTCATCAGTTTGGTTACGGTATATCCCTGCATCAGTCTCGTATCCTTTTTATTTAGTCATTCTTCATTCAAACAGCAACACAATAAATCTGTTGCATTCATTTATTGATCTACGCACTTTATAACTAGACATTCACGCAATAATAATGCATACTTTTGAACTCCAGCCACTTAACTGGTGATTAAGCATAAATTTAAGATTAAATGAAAGCGGTTACTTTTTTTGATAAAACTAACTGTAATAGATCCTTATTAAATCACTTTGCTATCTTTTTTCATGAACTTGCCTATCGTAGACAATCGTTAAGTGACAACCAATGAATGTGTGATGGGTGAATAAGATATCGAATTGATTATCCGATTAACAGAAGGCGATTAGTCGCAAATTCGCTATTGTAGATGGACAAAACCTGTACGCTTACCTCTAAACAACCTCACTTTTTGGTCGAGGAGTAAGAAGCGGAGGCAGATCTAGATAATTGAATAATTCCAGTTCAATGTCAGTATTGGGTGATGCTGTTTAGTGATGATGATTCCAACCGATATTATGATTATTGCCGTTGTTATTAAGTATGTAAATGATTCAATGCTGCTTTTTGATGCATATATGATATTTTATAAGGATAGATATAGTCATCTTTATTATTATTATTGCTATTCATATCATTTATTCATGATCCTATACGATCATTCATCTATTGTGTCACCTTTTCAACTCTGTTCACCTTTTTCAGCAACTCTTTAATCTACTATCGCACACATTATTCATTTATGCCTCTTATTCAAGCATTTATTCAGAAAATACATTAGTTCATCACCAGTTCGATGAATATTAGGGAGTATGTTAGAAAGATCGATTAAATTTTTTGATTTGATTTCGTACATGTGCGTTGTGAGTAGTACATGTACACTTATTTTATATTAGGTTATATTCTGAATGAGTTGAGAAGCTAGTTCGATTCGGAGAGAGAAAAGGAACATTAACGTCGAATACCTGACCATACACACAAATATATGGTCAGGTATTCGACGTTAATCGGATCAATTTCGTCATTTGCTTACTATGAGAACGGTTCATTACTGAATGAAGCAACGAACAATTCTGACATGTTATGGGCAATAATGAAAATGATAATAATACTAATACGAAAAGAAGATAATGAAATGAGATTAGTTGTCATTGGTGTGGTTGAACAGCAGTTAAGCACATTGAAGTTATTTGCATCGCCGATGACGTTTTTCAGGAACAATATTCAAACTGACAATGCCCATATCATAGACACCATTGATATGTTCTTTGCTGATGGGATATTCATCCGTTATTGTGCAACTCTGCAATAAAATACCATCCAAATTATTCATATAACAGAGAAGATGGCGAAAGAATTCGCATATTCATCTGAAGCATAAAACAACTGAGACTTTCTATGACAACTTGTGCACGTTGATCGTAACTAATTAGCAAATGAAATATGAATAGAAGTGGTAATCTTTAATGAGATGTGAAGTGAACACCGACCGGATTGATAACACCACCGTCACAATTGTGTGTGATCACTAAGTATGGTTCAATCGAGAACTCGTCTTCTTGGCCACTCACTTCGAAATGGCCTTCTTTATCCGAGTGCACTACTCCAAGCGAATCATCGGGATCAACTTCAATCAAACTCACCTTTCACTCATTAACTGATTAACTATGCCAACTTCCATTTTATTGCTTGAATGACTACCTTAAGTAGTAAATAACAATAAAGGTTCTGTCTGTAACTAAGCGTCAGTTTGCTGTTTTTTGTAATCGTTTACTTAAGAACGCTATAACATTCCATGAACTATCTATCCGCTGCTGGTATAACCGAATTACATCAAAATACACAAACGAGTCTAGTTCTTAACAACAACTTTCATTTTAGCACGCACAAGTATCGCGTTCTTTCAGCTCGACGTGAACGTTTCTTAGCGACTTGTCATCGCACGCAAGTCGGCCTTTGACCGATATGGATTGCACTGACGCGTTTGTGATCGCGACGAGCATTGCTGCTAGCAGAACAATTTCTTTCAGCATCGATGACATCTGAAAGGAACTCGATTCGACAATTTCAAACTGATAAACACACGAACTGTTCACTTGATAATACCATATCAACCACATCAATTCAAATTTATTTTCAAGTCATCACTTTATCCTCCAACCAATACCATATTAATATCGTAACCTTGCTCGGCACGATATTGGCCACCCATTCAGTTTGGTGGTGATATTATGCTGGATTAGTAGTTAGAAGACAGATAGATGGTTTAATATATTGATTGATATCTTTAGAAATTGATGCACATATAAGGCTAGCAGTTGACTATCCATGCAAGTTCTAAGAAAAATAACAGCTAGAACAGTCGGGCGCCTAAGCAGCATCTGTTCGTTCAATGCGGTAGATGCATGTTAATTAATTCATTGACGGAACTGATGAAACAGCGAAACAGGACAAGAGTGAAAGCAAGCTGGTTCTAATGGGAATTATCATTAAATAAACTTAATTATCGATGAATGATCAAATATTTTAAAAGTCGTACGGCTCAATCAGATGAGACCAGCTCACTGAAGAGCTTATACTAACAGTGATCACAATAACTTCGAAGGGATCAAAGCAACAGCAATTTGCGATAACAGTCAGGCGCCTAAGCAGCATCTGTTCGTTGATTGCATCAACAACTGATTATATAATATTGTTGTTTTAAGCACATAAAATAATTATATACATCTACATGCATCATTCATATGTAGCATTAAAAATTGTAAATCAACTGAACAGATAAACAAATAGTGTTGCTTGTGTCGCATCAGAAACTAACAAAACAATGATAAAAACAAGAATAATAAGGTAATGAGTGATAACGATAAGACGGATACCAACAACAAACAACGATCAGATGTGTGTTGATAAATTAAAAAGAAGCAGTCAACAACTGTTATTCATTTATCTTGAAAGATACAGATCAGATCTCGATCACTATCAATCAAAAATCATGGGAACTGATTCATTTATTTTAATGCTAACATTTCTCAAAAACTTATTTTCGTTTAAAGAAATAGCATTATTCATCGTATGAACAGTCGCATCATCATTCAATTGAATTCTTCTGAATAAATTGTAGAGGTCAATTGCAAGAATCATCGTCAAACAAAAGTATTCAATTCGATCATTAATAAGCATCAATTCATTTTTTTTCGTTCTTCCCAAAATTTCCTCCCCATCTTAATATTTTCAATTTCTACCCAGCAGCCAATATTTTCTCGGTACTTTTTCATAAATTTCCTCAATTCCTCTGAACATTTTCATGTTGCTGATCTTAAGATGAGAAATACGATCGGATTCAAATTGAGATTCTATTATTAAGAGGGAAAGAGTCAGAATCCAATTTCATGAAGTAATTAGCATACGAAACGAGTATGCAGAAGAAAAGAGTCAGGAAGAGGCTGCAAAAATGATAATCGAGCACATAAAATTGTAATATTATCGGACGGGGTTATGGTCGTCGTCACCGAGGTAATATACTAATCGTTGTGACGATTTCCTGCTCCTTCTCTCGAAAGGGTATCATCTAAATTCAACAAAAAAACTAGTTAATGTTCGCGTTCAAATGACTCAGTGTGAATGAAAAGAATGTTGCTTGCCGTTGACTTGTTGTTTTTAAACGATCGAACGCTCTGCTGATCACTGTAAAAGCCCTCGGGCGATCGCTACGTTGCTGCCAGCTGTTTGGCAGCAACATCCTTCTGACAGCAGCATCACCCACTCAGGCAAACACCCCACCCTCATCTGAATATCGGCAATTCTTCGGTGGGTATATAGGTAGGTAGTTAATGCAGTACAGAAGCAAAATCATTATTAACAATATCTATATAATGACATAATTTATCGAATCACAATAATACGTGCTTGCTTGAATGACTTCGACATGACAACTTCACATCTAAAAGCACCAGTGTTCATCCGAAGTCTGAGCTGAGCCTAACTAAGCGTCAGTCAAAGAGCCTTAGATGATACTTAGGCAAAATTCAGCCAAGACTTCAATGAGCTTATGAAAACAAACCTGCGGCTTTTGAGAGAGGTGCTTTCGCCCTGATGTGACTTGAACCTATTAATGCATAATGAATCTTAAATGCATTTTCGATTCGAAACGTTCCTTGTGAGCAAGTTACATCTTAATGAGAATTTGACCATGAAGTAAGGTCAAATGAAAACGACAAGTGGACAGTGACGGAAGTTTGTCAATAAAATTTCATTAAATCTTATACAATTCAAGCGTTTAATCAATTTGTCCTGTAAAACGAGCATGATAACTAGACCTTAATGATAACTAGCCCTACACGTAACTACTGCTAATGATAACTAGCTAAACGATAAAATTAATTCTACCTGATTATTACTGAAACTTTAGATACTTACTTGACTGGAACACAAAAACACATAAAACAATACGCATTATGTTCATGAGAATGATGCGTATTCATTCAATCATTAGAAATTACTTTGCATCGATGAGATATTTTATGCAAGACCTGAGACGATTGATTTCGCTAGTCATTTGTTTTGTGCTCGTTTTATAAGTAGCGGTCACGTTCAACTTATCGACCTTGATCATTTCTTTAGTAGATAAATCATCTTATGCACAAACAACCGAAAGTTTCCGAAGATTTTTACTCGGTTCAAGAAAGATAGGATCGAGTATAAAATGATGATTAACACCAGCATCAATAGCAGTTTATAATTATTGAATGGCTTCGAGAATTTCAGTCGATCTGCACGATCTCCTCGACAAAAGATAATGTGAAAGGAGCTGAGTCAGAAATCGGTGGCACCGATCCGATACTTCGTATAACAGATAAGTGCGATGAAGGTCGTCTAATACAGTCATCTTCACTGCTTTCAAACTGTTCTCATCTTCTTCGAACAATCGTACAGATACATCTGGAACACTACCTTGCAAATTCGGATTTCTTGATCAATTTAGGAAAATAAAAAATTTGTTTCCAGAACTCTAGAATTGTTGATCAATGTGATATGTAGACCGTGCGGTCAAAGATGTGGAAGTGCATTTGGGTGTGATTCGAAATCGTCACGGTGATCACGTTTGTTGGTAATGTCATCAATTTTGAATTGTTTATAAATGACCTATTCACATAAATGACCTGCTATCATTCTATTCGAACGATTCGTTAGTAAATATTGTTGTGCACGTGCTATAGTACTTGATAATGCAATGCAAACAAACTGTAACACTGTACGTTTAGAAGCAGCCATCTATTTGTGAAGTACACTATTTTTTGATGGAATGCTTGTGCTTATTCGTTCAGTTAAACTTGATTGTGCCTACATACTACATGTGAACACGGATGGATGGATGGGTGAATGGACGCTGTTATCTATGAAACTTTTGCATGCTGCATGAGTTTACGTGTGCGTTCTTCATCTCCTTTGTTTATGCTAGGCAATCTGACAGACAATCTGAGTGCATAAAAAACAACGCACGATGAAATAAAAACATGTATTGTATTTTATGCTTTCATAGATTGCTGAGAATATTAAAGCACACATGCAATATCACTAACTGTATGCACTCCCCTTCAAACCTTACCTGTCCACAAGACACCAGTTGAAAAAGGTAACACAGGTCATTTGAAATTAATTGATTCTTTTCCTGTATTTGAAGTTATTCAGCTGAAGGCGTTCATTAAGTTTGTTTAACAAATGAACATTTTCATCATGAAACTAGAGTGCGACGATCACGCACTGCTGTTGCGTTTTTTGATAGCATTGCTTATGAGATAGTAATTGATGTTTAATTTTCGATTTGTCTGTCGCTTGTCGTTATATGTATGTTGTTTTGTTTCACAACCTGCCTTTGATTCTTTCAAAAGAAAATGATGAGTTGAATTGATAGGAATGAAATTGATTGGTATGGATTAAATGTAATGTCAAATGAGTGGCTGATGGAGTGAGGTAAAAGGTGAAATTGGAGTCCTCTGATAAACATTCGTTGATGTGATAGAATGATAAGAGATTAACACTTTTACCATCAGCACCAGCTAAACGGGCAGTGGGCATGAGCAACAAACAATTACTGTGTGCTTATCTATGCATCCACCGAACGACGGACGACTGACTGCATAAATGTGGTGATATGCTAATCAAAATTTTATCACTAGCAAATAAAACATTATCTCTCAACAATTCGATGGCAATATTCAATCTTAATCATTTCTCATTTATTCATCACGATGATCGACCAGTTTACAAATTCCTTCGTTCAGAGCGAGCCGTTCCTCTGATTAGTTGTAATAGGTATTGAGTTATTGAATTTTGTTATTGTTATTAGAGTTTATTTTTGTTATTGCGTGCAGCCGAGACAGGGCCGTGTATTATGTTCGCAATGAAACCATTGTGTAAATATTTATTTATTCATTTGTTTATTCACGTATACACTGTTCAATTCAATCAAATCAGTTCAATCGATTGAGCACTTTTCGTATTCTTACCAATCAATCAATTTTTCGTATTCTTCTTCAATAAACATTCTTTCTTTCGTATACTACAGAAACGAGTAGAGGACATAGACGAAAACAATAATAGCAGCAGAATCGCTTATTCCTTCAGCTATTCATTGCTACTGCCTATTTTTCTTTCGGCTTTTCATTCTTGCCGATCAACCGCATTTCTTACATTCATCCTTTTCACGTATCTTCAGAAAGATCACAATTTTCATTTCATATTATAAAAAGCAATAATTTGTTCGATTAATGCGAGCAACAAAAACAAATCAATTAATCAATCGTTTCGTCTCGTCTCGTTTTACCTAATCTCTTCGAATAACCAATCAACAAAATTATCACTCCTCATTTTCAGAAATTGATAGCAAATTTCTTCACTATTAGTTTGCTGTCTTTTTTTCGTCGCATTTGCGCACGAAGTTCAGTTCGTTTCATAATTGACAAGCACACACTGAATTCGGTTGAAGCGATGAGTGATGATGCTTATGCAAATGAATCAGTAATGAAATGCGTTTTTTTCAAGGGAACAACACCAATGAGTTTCGATGCAAATAAATTTCACCAAATCAGAATACCGGTTTACGGCGGTGGTGCATGCACCTATACTGTGCCAAAACGTTACGTTAATCTGGCGTTCATCAGTATGGGTGCTCAAGGAACTGTTGTGTGAGTTGGTTACCCTCCATTTGATATGCGCTTGTGGTGATTGAATAAACAAATGAATAAATAAACAAATAAACAAATGAATAAATAATTGATCAGGCGTGCCGAGGACACCATCACAAAGGCAACAGTTGCTATCAAGAAAGTGCAACATCCATTTCTGACCCCAATGAACGCGAAGAGAACATATCGAGAATTTGTTCTACTTGTCACCATGAAGCATCCAAATGTTCCTTTTCATCTGCTTATATTATGATTGTCATTATTATTATTTTATTTTTATTATTTTTTCATTTTTATTTCCGTTATTATCATTATTAACATTTCTGTCACTGTTCTAAGTGGAAAAAAATGATCAAAATTGTTATCGTTGCAGTTGATACGATTAATAAATGCATTTTCACCGCAAACTTCACTTCGCGATTTCGAAGAAATCTATCTGGTGATGGAATATATGAATTTCAATCTGGCAGAAGTGATACAAAAACTTCAACTTGATCAAAAAAATCTTTCGTATTTCACGTATCAAATGATTGTCGCAATGAAATATATGCATCGTAGTGGCATTATTCACAGAGTCAGTATTGTTTGCTTGCTCCTCCTCATTGCTCTAACGCAGTGCTTCTCAACAGTTTTCCCCTTGCACCTCCCAAGAAATTTTCAGTTGTCTTCGCACCCCCTACAACAAAACTTCACAACACTCACTCTGTACCTCTTATATACGTTAAACTCCATCCTCGCCTACTTTACACTAAAGCCTTATCTCGCCACCCCTCCCGCACCCCTCACTCACCCCTCTCTCGCACCCCCGGGCATGGGGATGCCTACACCCCCAGTTGAGAAACCCTGCTCTAACGGATCGCTATTTAATTACTACTAGTACCACATTTTTTACTACGTTATCGCTAATTGCCATCAGTAATTTTCAACTGAAAATGCAAAACTCTTCAACATTCCGCATCATTTCAGGATCTTAAACCAAGTAATATTGTTGTCAATAATCGATGTATTCTAAAAATTCTCGATTTTGGGTTGGCCAGAAAAATGGAAACCAAAGAGCCAATGTCTGGTTATGTGGTAACTAGATACTATCGTGCACCTGAAGTAATCCTTGGTTTGCCATATACTGAAAAAGGTAACAATTATATGTAGATTTAATATGGTTGGATTAGATAGCTGCTAAGAGAAGTGAGCAATGCTCAGTGTCAGCATGAAGCATTTTGGTTGTTTTTTGTGATTACAGCGATTGGTTATTGTCTTCAGTGGATGTTTGGGCTATTGGATGTATTTTGGCTGAGATGATCTTACGAAAGACCTTATTTCGTGGAATCGATCGTTTAGATCAGTGGTCCAAAATCACAAGTCTTCTTGGGACGGGTGACAAGGCTTTCATTGATCGGTTTGCTGCTTTCTTTATCAACTCATTCATCCAGTTTAGAGTTAAATTCATTATTGATCAACCAATCTAGATTGGATAAGCATGCGAGGATGTATGTGCGAAGTAGGGCGCCTGTTGATCCCACTCCATTCGACGTGATCTTTCCGGATGAAGCCTTTACGGGTCATTTTCCGAATGCTCCTCAACTTTGTCGTAAGTTGTTGTAAATGTTCATTCAGATCACCGCTCTCTAGAGCAATGCAAATAATCTTTATGTGCATAGCAAATCAATGAAGAAAGGATATTTGTAAGCTAATTTTTCATGGTAATCTTATGTTTCGGCATTGCACAACAAGGATAATATGACATTCCTTATGGTAATTGCAAACGCGGCAGCAAATATTGCTCGTAAGAAAGAATTGATGACGTAACGTATAATTAATATGATTGTGTGCTGTTTTATAATTTAGCAAAAAATGCCCGTGATCTACTATCAAAAATGCTGCAAATCGATCCAGAAAAGCGTATAAGTATTGATGAGGCTGTACACCATCCTTATGTAAAACTGTGGTTTGATGAGTCCGAATGGAACACTCCACTTCCAGAGAATCGTTATGATCCACAAAACGATGTTATCGAAAGACCAATTGAGGAATGGCGAGGTGCTCACTTATTCGTAATCAATTAATCTCTCAAAACAACATCAGTCTATATTTTCTACGATATGTGATAATGAAAACATTTTCAGCAGTTGATTAAAATCGTTCGAATAAACTATAACAATTCATCGATCTAATCCATATACAATTCATCAAGAAAGTTTCAGAGTTACTCTTTAACGAAGTAAAGCGATATGAACAGAGGCACGACATTCATCTAGGAATACCTTCTCCCATACCCACTTCCGACACACAGCCTTCAGTCTGAGTTTGAACTAACTATATGAAGAACGGTGAGTATATGAAGAAGGTGTTATAATTGATATTGCTAAAATTACTACTGCTATTATCACAAGTAGCAGTGCGTATACCTTACAGGGTCATTAACAATTCTGTGGCCATGCAATACGTTTAATCACCTCGGATCGATCATGCAAAAATAATTTAACCCTTCAATCTTCATATTGCTGTAACTAGTAATCATTCACACAAACATCATTATCGTTATCAAACTCCATTTTTGTATCTGATCTATCCGTTCATTATTTGCTTTTGACAATGTTTATTGTTTTAAAGTTTTTTTAAAAATAGAAGAATGAAGAATATAGTATGTTTTATGTTATTGTGATACAAATTCAATAGTGATGCTTTTATACGATCACAGTTTGTGACTATTACTGTTGTTGTTATTGTTTTCAGCTGTATTTTTGCGTTCCTTTTGACTGTAGAATAAATGTCTACTTGATAAACTTCTTCTGAGTTGCTTCGCACACTGATGCCGCTTCATTTTATAAAGATCGGAAGAACTGCCATGGAAAAGTAAGGGCTGTGAAGCCAATAATAATTTTAAATTCCAAGTTTTTGGACCGAAGGTTTTCAAATTGTGAAGTATCGTTTCGACTTAACTCGAAACTAAACCCCGTATTTTTAACTCATAAAAGGTTAGACTGCGTAGCATGTACATTTCGAGGAAGATGTTTTAGGAATTAGAGTGGGCCAAACTATAATAGTTTGAATTTTCGAAGCTTTCAAAAAAAATCTTTTCGAAATATCATGTCTTACGGTAAAGCCTTGTTCAGTACTGTCTAACATTTCAATATGAAGATATTTAGATATCCGAGCTGATTGATGATACTATGATAAATAAGATATGATAAATAGGATAAAGATTAGTGTATCCATGAGCGAGCCGCGTTTAGATATCATCGAAACACTAGTCTTTATCCTATTTTCTGAGTATCTTTAGTTTAGGCCTGAACAACAGTCAAATTTAAGAAGCCACAAATATCTCATAAGTGCTTGAATATATTGGCTGACATCGTCGCTCCTGAGCAGTAAAAATTGATTGAGCTCCTTGGTAAGACAGGAAAGATTATTGGTTTGGTGTAGGACGATCGAGTATTTCTGAATTTGATGATATCGATTTTCTTTTTCAATTTTTAAAGTTTCTAATTTTTCAATCGCTTGTGAATGTTTTTTTAACCGGTATAATACTTCTTCCGTGACGTTTCTTATGATGTTAATGACTAAAATGCTTGAAAAGTAGAATGGGAATTTCAGACTTAATGCACCTGTCGCACCTCAAAACCCTCGATAGTTTGAATTTATATTCATCCCTTCGATGAATTCTTACTGACTCATTAACCATCACTTTGATGAAATGATTGCTTTTCCGATCATCTCGAAGATAATTTCTGAAATGTTCGTTGCATCTTCCTTCTTCATGAATAATTGAACTTGTTATTAGATATCATTTTTATCGCTGAAGAATGTTTTTTCATTGCTTTTCTTTTTTGATTGCTGAGTTTCATATTGTTTCTGCAGTGGGGAAAATGAGGTTCTTAAAATACTCGTTTTGTTCCAGAAAATTAATTTCCTTCACGACACTGACAAATTTCCGGACCAGTTTTCCTTTTATTGCCGACGTTATACGTCAGGAACAAAAGAAAAACCTGTCTGGAACAGTTATACGTAGAAATTGTAGGTTTTTGTATCAGGAAGGGAGGGAGGTAACGGCGGCGTGCCAGATCATCAAAACGGGTAATGGAGCACCTAAGCGTGAGAACTATTGGTCTATATCCTTATTATTATTATTATTATTATTATTATTATTATTATTACCATTATCAGTAGTATTGTCATAATCATTATCGAATACTGTGAAACTGAACAATCAACGACATCTTGTAATATTGATGATTGTTTTTATAGTCGTTTGATCCTCTGATTTGTCATGTGCTGACTAACGATCTTGAAAGTGAAATTGTGATGATCATCATGATTATCAGTAAGGGTTATTGTCATTTAATGAGTAGCATTTTCATTTCATGCTACAATATCAGTAATTATCATCATTATCCTCATCAAGTATTATTATTTTTGTTTCCGTTTTATTTTTATTCTCATTTATTATTGCTATTGTTATCGCTATTTTACATTCACTTCTTCATAGCAGTAACAGTGACATTAGCGTCTGCATTCATTAACACCTATTATAATGATCGTCTCGTCTGGTAATTGCAGTGAATTCGATCATTAAATCCCCGAGATGAATTCATTAGGGCAGTTGCATAGGTCAATCATTTTATGTGCGTTGTTTTCTTTTATTTTCAGTCACAATTTTAGCAATTTATTCCAAGTTTGCTTCGAGCCTTCATCAAAAAAAAAACGATACTGCTAAATGTTTTTGCATCGAACGATTCGAGAACTGGAGCTGCTCGTAGGATTAATGGTTAGATATTGGAAGTCCATGTCACTGTTGTTCTTATTGTTCACTCATTCAACAAAACAATAAAATCGGTGTGAGTAGGTAGTGTCGATTACTGCAGTTGGTCATTGGTGAGATTTCTGCATAATGGTGAACTGCTTGGCCGAAGCATATAGCAACATGATGTCAATTGACTTATTAAGTGATTGAGATAGATCAAGAAGGCTAGCTAGATCAGAACTGCATTGTTGACAATGTAATAACAATAATGTGTTACAACTTCATACAGAATATGCCAACAACAACATGTATATGCATTTCAATCACTATGATCAGATTAAAGCATGCACGTGATTGCCATCGTCGGATAATATTAGTGGCATTAGAATTGCGTGTGCACACTCAATATCAAACTGACACATAAAGGAAATTGTCTGAGACAACAGTGAAAAGTTACTTTTTGTACCTATTTCCATCAAGGCTTTTCATTGGCTGCTTATTGCTATTGTGAATTATTACATTACGTGCTGTTATGACAGCAATGGTAAGTTCCAGTTGCCAGCCACTTGATCTCAATCTATTGATTCACTAGGCGTATCTTAATTACATTTTTTCTATGTCCCTTTGTCTATATGCATAACAACAGTAACAATATGGTGATAATGATAATAGTAATTATAATAATTATAGTAATAATAATAGTAATAATAATAATAATAATACAATAATAAATAATACTAATAATAATATTAATAACAACAACAACAATATCAAAGCTTCGTCATCAGAAAACGTTTGCATGCCAGTACTCTCGAAGTGATGCTGTGATCTCGCATTATTCCTGTCCAACTTTGCTCATACGATCTACATTCTAAAATAACGCTATGAATTAACTGCGATGTGAGTATACACTGGATATTGATGAATATGTGATGATTCTCATTAATGCCATTCAGATGGTAATCTATCGCACTGAAAAAGTATTTGCATGAACATCGAATCCAGAGAGTAACTAATAAATGTGCATAAATAAGGAACTGAGTCATGAGCAAGATATATATCTATCTAGCTATCAACCCACATCCAGCAATTATATGCATTCTTCCCTTCCATATCACCAACACCATCAACATCCACCAACATGGATGTTATCGTTGACGTTCTCCCACTCCTCCCAGTAAAACGGTGCTTATTTGATATGCCGATGAATTCATTCTCTTTCATTTATAATAATTATCCACCAAAGATATTATTGTCAGCACTAACAGTGTTACTTCAATATATTGCTCGACCAAAACTTGGACAACTCACCTGAAGCAAGATATTCTCATTGTATTGCTGATCATTTTATTGCTATTTTTGATCGTGATAATCTATTCTTGATCAGTTTGACTTTCCTTCGCTGCTTTCATAACCATCATCGTCATTATTTTCACTGTTATCATCAGTGCTGCTAGTATTTGTGATTACAGCATTATTACTAGCATAAATTTAGGAGAGAAAACAGTGATTTATGCAAATGATTTGCACATAATTTCGTATATCGTATTTGTGCAAATCAAAAGAATGTGACGCAATAACTGAGAATATCACGTTCAATATCGACATTATCGAACATTTCTCGACCGAAATTTTCATAGAACTGAAATAAAGTAAAGCAACTATTTTAAAATTGAAGTGAAAAATCTTATTTACCAAACGAAACCTTAATATCAAAATTACAACTGTTGAAACCTTAGTGAAGACAGCTATGAATCAATGTTGAGTCACCCGGAAGGAAAACGTCTTAAAAAGTTTTTAGTCGAATTCACCATCAATCCATTCACTTTCGTCTGCAGTACGCATTTTCTCTACAATTACGTAAGCAATTCCGCAATAAATTAACTAATCATCTAATTCCTAACTTCTCATCCTCCTGTTTAGCACGTCACATAGTTTCATCATATAACATAAAATTATCATCACGCGTCATTTTTATGCCCACTTTTTCAAGACATTAATGTTAAAAATAACTTTAATCATTCAAATATGTAATTGAAAGCGTTCATGGAATGTCACGTCATCATCAGTATCTCTTTCACCTTTCCGAGTTGATTTACTTCACTACTGAACTGTGAACAGAAGCGGCTGTACACCTTAACTAACCGATTGCTTTCTTTTATTCTTTTCGTTGTTCTTTATTCAAGATGTGAAGTATCATCAATTTATTTATATATTAATTCATTGCTCCATCATCTATCCGTCCCATTGTCACATGTCACCTGTTTTTTTCGTTTTATCGTTATTTTTCTTATCTGGTTATTCCTTTCATAGTTATTGTTATTCCTATTATTATTGCTGTTAGTATTATTATAATCATTATTCTCCTTATTATTGGAGTGTAAATATCAGCCATTTCTAGGGTGAATTTCTTCAACTGTCAATATGCTTGTTTAACATTTTGCAACAAGCTAATTGCCATTCAATATTGCGAGCTTCATTCATCTATGCCGTACAGCAGTCTATGCACCCATATGACCATAATAAAGCCATAAGAAAATGACCACCAAACATATTGCTCAACCTCCAAAATGTTTCATTAAATTGTACTCTCTCATCTTCACATCACCTATTACAGTATTATCGTATGAATCAACTCACTGTCAGAATAAGAATAATAATTTGCTCCTCACTTAAGCAAACTAGAATATTCTTTGATTTCCGAACAAAAAGATCCTCATATGATGTTTTGCCTTCGTTTCGTTTTCATGTCCCATGTTCCATTCAATACTTAGTTGATTACGTTTTATTCTTTGGCTGATATCTAAAATAATGATAATAATAATGAATTCGATACTCACATATAGATACCGGCTGAATTTTTAACGAAAAAAGATAGCTTCTAGAATTTATAGGCTGCAAACAAGTAGTTTATTATCATCATGAGAATTCAATTGGTAACGTAAAATCTCATAAGTCTGCATGCGATGCTCCATTCTAAGAACTCGTTGATGTTGTTCAGATCCAGTTTCATGCCTACTATTGCCATTATCAATAGTGCATCATCATGAAACCTTATTTCAAATATGAAACTGCCCTCTGCACCCATATCCAGGCACTATATATAGGCAGTTTTCAATCTCAGTTCATCATTCATTTCATTTCATTACCATCCCATGTCGCTCCTCGTCTTGTCAATAGTCTCGAATTCAAAATTCATTACAAACTTCCTTTAATTTGACGATATTAGCCAATTAAGCGGTCAATCGACCCTTTCTTACAGAATGACTTTAGCGAATAATGTAATAGCAGGCGGTATTATCATTATTATTATTACTGCTGTTATTGGTCGTCATGACATTCATAATAATACTGCATGCTGTTATAATATTATTAATAAAGAAGTTTTCGAGTGAATCGTTTTGACCGATGTCGTGAGTTGACTGAATTGCAAGTTGTTAACACTTTCAGATTTGAGTGAATTAATTGTTGGGAATTAGTAACTGCGACTAGTTGGAACAAAATTACTGAAAATAGTTGACAAGAGGAAGGTGAAAGGTTGTGGCAGCAAGTTATCGATCCTAAGATTCGATTCGATCCCACTGAAGTGATAGATCTCAGCTGATCATCATCGAGTCAAGACAAAGTGAATGAAATCGTGCAGACAGGCTGGACAGTTTAGTGTCGATTGGAGAATCAGCCGAAACGGTCAACTAATGATGAAGATAAATGACAAGAACAAGCCACCAAATGAGGATGTACCCGTATCTGTAAATCGCCAACAATCACTACCACAACCAACCAAGGCAATATCGTCTCGACTCTACAAAACAATGTATCATTCCCTTCAACTAAGAGCAAATCTCAACACAGTTCTTATCGTTCTTCTCTACGCATCACTCACTCACAAAAGCTTTGCAGCTTTGCATATCCCCTCAACAACTAACAACATCTATCCTCCATCTGTTGATGTTGCCGTTGCAGCAGCAGCAGCAGCAGCAGCAGCAGCAGCAGCAGCAGCAGCGGCAGCAGCAGCAGCAGCACAATATCCGATTTCAAAATCATTTCACTTCAACCCACCGGTAATATTTTATCATTGATTTGATTTTATCACTCACCTCTAATATTAACACTATCAACATATGTAAATTGAAGAAGCACGACCCATGGCTGCAAAACTTACTGCTGCAACAAAAGCGTGCTGATAGGAACTGGGAAGCGTTAGATCCGAGTTGTTCAGTATACAGGAACGAAGCATTACATGCGATTATGGACCGTGTTTGCGAGATGTGTCATGAAATGTTCTCACATGAACAGAACAGCCTTCGGTCAGAATGCAGGTGAGCACTTACATAACTACTTCCTTTCTGCGTACATCCATCTATTCAGATCTTATTTTTCTCAACACTGACGTATCTCTCATTGAATAAATTGATTGATTTATGTTACGATACTCCAATTATAGAAAAAACTGCTTCCGGAACATCAAGTTTCGTCAATGCCTTGAGCTTTTTTCACCGTTGTCCAGCGGTACTTCACGACGTAGTGTTCCCGACGAACATGAAGATAGCAGCGAGCCGATTTCACACTACCACTTATTAGAACACTAACTGCACTTTTGCTGAATCCGTTAGTCTGTCGATTCGACCAGAACTGTACCATCCAGTCCACTATTGTTGCTTCAGCTTCAACTTCAGCTGCAACCTCAATCACCGATCGTTCTCAATATCCATCCTACGGCGATACGACTAATCAATTCAAGAATACAACCAATAGACGTCAAACGCCCCATCCGAAACAACCTTCCAGATCTACGACATCCGGTCGTCATCATCTATAATGACTTGTGAGTCCCCGTTTGTCTCAGCCAAAGTATGACGGGATCAAACATTCGAACACAAACTTACCTACTAATACAGATCTTTATTATTATTATAATCATTACCACTATTACTTTTTCTAAAATTAACCAACTAAACCCAATGTTTAATCTATTTTCGATGTTGCAAACCCTCTTATGATTGAACATTCACAATAGATAAACGAATAGATTTCTGATACGTATACAATTGTTGCTTTATGATAGAGATCATCGTCAATTCGTCTTTAATATTAATGCTATTTTATCATACAGCCATCTCGCTTGCGTACGCGATATGATCTCATTATTTTAATTTATTGAATTCATCTGAACATATGATATGAACAAAACATAAGTGATGATCTCATTCGCAGTATACTGCTCTTTTGAATGGTTGAATAAAAATAAATGAAAATAAAGATGGGCGTTTTCTGTTCTGACAAATGAGTACTTACACACCGCGCTTCGTTACATGAAAATTGCAGGCGCTCAATTGTGTTGAATAGTTGTTTCAGTAAGGCAGCGAAATTTTGTCACGGTTCACCTTGATTTCAGAAAAAAATCGGTACAAATAAATCGATAGGTTCTAACAAATATGGATATCGAAACTGTCATAACATTTTCAATGGAACTGATATGATTCAAAGGTTAGACGCTTCGAATGCTTCTGACAGAAGAGTATTTTAGTGCAATGGTGAAATTTTGAGGGGTTACATATCTCTTGAAACCGTTCACGATAGCAGATCAATAAAAGAAATCTCATTTATAACTGGTAGGCAAGAAGCTTTAGATTAAGCCTCGAAGCTTCATTTCAGCACACCCAATTTTAAACGAGAAACTCCAAGAAATAATTCTTTAATGCGCAGTAAACCTTTCTTCTTAATTGAAAGCTTAAAGAAACATCGTATTAAATCAGTGAAACGTGAATGGAGCAATGATAACAGAAAAGATAATAAAAAGAATAAGCTTGAACATAATACTTTCCTAATCACATCAACAGAAACATTTCTCGACTGAAAAAAAAACCCACAAAAACAGAAGAACGAAAAATGTTTGGAAGATGACATTGCGGAAGACATGAAAAATTGGAAATATTAAAAGCAATAATAATGATATCGACAACGATTGTAAAAAACAGGATAATGATTCGGAGACTTGATATATGCAACACATCACGTACTCAACTACTATGCTCTTCAACTAAACAAAACTAAGAATTCCTGAAGCAGTTAGTAAAAAACGAATCAACAAATCGATCGTAGAAGCATCCAATTCCGACGAGTGTAAATGAATAAAAGAAACATAAGTAATATCGAGGATTACAACTGGAATCAAACTGGCAAGAGGAATGAAACAAAACAAAAATAAACGAAATTAAAGAATGAATCAAACCTATTAACAGGATAGAACCAGAGATTCATTACATAAAATATGGCAAGCAATCAAGATTTGCAGTACAATAATAATAATAATAATCAAACCATATTCAAATAATAAACGAATCAAAAACAATGAGATTGTTACAGCAGAAATTTTTTTTCGCATTAAAAACGATGTAACCGTTGCTACCACTAATCACTTACCTAATTCATTCCATTTCGTCACTTAAAACATTACTGGCGAGTAAATGAAAATAATGAAACAATAGGATGAGTTGAAAAAAGCCCAAAAAACGAGTTAAACTACACTAATAATTAGGACGATTATGAACAAAAATGATGAACGCAAAAAGAATAATCAAACAAACAAACAGACAAATAATAAAATACACCATTAAACAGCAAAAACATAATGATATTATGCATTGCGGTTGTGTACTTTCCTAAACTGACTTGTGAATGATTATGTTTTCATCGCTATGCGCCCTATTCCTTTCTTTGCTTTTGCCTCACGCTCAGCACCCGAAAAGTATAGTCATTGTTACTATTATTGGTTATATCATCAATATTACAATCACGGCAACTATTTCTGTTATTGTCAACATTACTATCGCTGTGAATTTTTCTATGCTGCTCCATCAGGGTCGCTATTTCGTTCTATCTCAACAATCGTTTCATAATCGATTTTTACTGCATTTTTTTCTCGGTTTCCGTCTCACAATCATCACCAACCTTCGTCATTGTTATAGCCGCCGTTTGATTCTTCCAAAAATTATTCAACGTCTGAAATAGTAATGACGATGGCAATATATCTTTGGTAAGCAATACATACCAAATAAAAATGAAGAATGGTCAATCTTCGAAGAATTTAGGATATATACGCGAACAAGTAAAATGAGGAAAATAAACATTTAAGCATTATAAATTGTTAATGACACTGTTGTTGTAATCATACAACATTATCAAAAAAATTACCCTTTCAATGAATTTATAGACGTAACACGTCGAATTCGGACCCTTCCCATAGAAATGCACATTTGAGCGATTCGCCAATTTTCGTTTGATACGTGAATGGAGTGTTATTCGTGGATTCACAATGAAATTATACATCAGTACCACCCAGCTGTTGTGTGATAACATCTTCGAATAGTATTCTGGTGCAATCTTTCGAATCTGAACAAGTGACGAATGTTGTTTGCATTTAAGTATTTTGATCCTTTATTTTAACTGTTAATGTTATTATTACGATGACCATAATACGAATGAAATATTACTTAAAATCAATTCATTTCATATGCCAATCGCTCTCACTCTTTTCAGTCGAATAAGAAACGAGCAAACCTTTGGAAGATTTGCGCCGCATACAAACGGGAAATCATGATGTTCATTATGGTGACCAACGTTGAACGTTAATAGATTTATTGGTCCATAATAGCTGAATTCATTCATCACTACTTATTGTCATTAATATCATCCATTAACGGTACTATTGGCAAAAACAAACCTATAGGTTTCTTGACCTGGATTAAAGACATAATGATCGGAAATATAATGACCGGCCAGCGGATGCAATCCAGATGCTATCACGAATCCTCCAAGTAAGAAAGCAACCGATTTCCATCCTAGGAAAACTATCACCAAATAATCCACTAAGAACTGTATCAAAGCATTCACGATCTCCAAATCTGTTACTGCCTTAAATGTAATTAATAATTATAACAATAACAATAATAGGCGAATAACCATGAACAATAATAAACATTGTATGCACAATAAATACATCCATATAAATTAAAAGTCTAGTGGATGAACGAACTTTTTTATATGTGACAAATGGACGAAATGCGTAAAAGAAAGGTTGAAGTATCATCCAGATTAACTTTCCGAATGTTCCTCTGAAGAATCGTGTCTCTATTTCAGTTGGAATATCAGTGTCGATCATATCCTCACCTTAACAATAATACGACAGTGAACAAATTCAATGAATCAGTGTTCATGAAGAACGTTACATCTAATAGCAATCATTGTTACTAATAATATTACCCATATAACGATGATGCTCCTCGTGATATTTCTTGAATGAAATTGACATCGGTACTAACATTGGTAAATTGGCTAGCAAACCAAATAGACGATTCTAAAAAAAACTCAATTAATGATTTTACTGCATAAACTTCACTCTTGTTACTATCGTTATTGTCCTAATATCTGAACACAACAGCCACATAAATAAACCGATGAATATGAATGAATAAACAATAAATCAACAAACTGCGCGGGGTCGTGAGCATCCAAATGCCATATTATGCGATATTTCATGGACAGCTAATGTCAATGAATGATTTAGGGTACCACCAACGAAATATGCTTGTAAGACAATCAACAGCCAATCAGAATCTAATTTACCAACATTATTCATTACTAGCATTATTGCTGTTATGAATCATTTAACTATGAATAAATTTGATAAATATTATTCAGATTTATTTATATTCGAACAAGGAAGTGATGAGTGACATTTGCAACTTTTTTGAACATTCTCTCAATGATCATACGAAGTGCTGATAATAAAACAATGGTATTAATAGCAACAGAGCTGATAATTATAGAATGCAAACCTTTAAGTAGAAATGCAAATATAAACTGCACTATGACCATCGCAACAACAACATACTTGAACGATTCATCGATGCCGAAATAATTCTTTATTTCCGGATATTTTTCTAACATTTCTTTACGACTGAAATGTGTATTTGTTGAATGCATTCCCATTCACTGAATTTCAACAAAAAACAAAACAATTTTACCGTGAGGCGTGTGGCTCTTCAGTATACGACCATGAGAAGTGATCGATATCCACTACAGATGAAGAGGATGATGTCTCTCGCTCAACTCCGTCCATTATGCCACCACAATCCCAGCAGTACTCAAATAGCAAGCAAACTTTTTTTTAGCAAATTCATCTTCCAGTCAATCCAAAGTCAATTTCTAGTCAATCCGGATTCGGACTGTCAGACTCGTTATGTTTAAAGTAATCGATAACTGATTCGACTGAAAGAATGGATCCTACCCCCCCCCCCCCCCCCCCCCCCCCCCTCCCCTCCCTCCTCCTTCCTCTCCACCCATCCAAGCGAGGTACAAACTCATGATAACACTTTATCCCCTGATAGAAGGCAGACTCGTTTGTTCGGTTTCCATTCTACACATTTCTTCTTCCCCTCTCAATTTAAATGCTTGATTGATGAAATAATTTGAACAACACGAAGCGGACGCATAAGTACACAAATAAATACAAAGAAATTAAAACAACTGAACAAACCGTATCTATGCTAAATCAGCAAACATGCACACAACATGAATGCTGCTCATGCACTCATATACGCAGCTAACAGCAAGCTTCTCACGTTTCCTAACAATATATATGTATTCTTATTAGTATTATAATTAATCTTTATTAACATCACCATGAATCATGTCATGATTATTTGGCAACAACCACATATTACTCTCCTATGCATAACTTATGATTTCAATTTATTATATCATATCATTTCATTATCCCGTAAACATAAGAACTTATCATGATAACATCACAAGTGATATGTATATTTATTTATAACTTCAACTAATCAATTGCGATTCCTGCACTTGAAAGACATTCACCGCAGTGAAGAACGTAACAGAACGAGCATTAGAACAATAATCTTATTAAAGAGTTGACTGCAAAAAACTTGTCATGATAAGATCGCAAGTGACAAGTTGAAGTGAAAAAAACGAGACATGAGGCTTAAATTTAAACACAGATAGAGAATCTACTGCGGGATTCGACGATCAGTCTGCATGAGATTAGAAGCTAACTTGCACCTTCAAAGAAGTTCCCTAGCGAGACACATCCACGCAAGTTTCTGTCTTATCAGGATTATTTACCAAATCATAGATGACTATCAATGTGCAATTCACAAAATACTGACACTTACCACCTCTAATATTTTCATTATGATGGTGCATCAAGTGCGCATAAAATCGCTTGTTCAGAAAAAGTCACTCGCCTATCCAAGTCCCCAATACCGTAGACATTAATCGCTTGTATATGCATTACTTGATCGATCGGTAACCTGGCGATAAAGTAGGATTTGAACGAAGCTGATCAGAAAAAAGATATGTGATCACCAATCAACACCCAGTTTTATAAAATATAGAGAGTTTACGACAGCTAATTTTGTCATACGTTTCTTCGATGATTTTTTATGCTTCCGACAAACCATGAGTTCAAGTTTGAGAATTTGATGATTCATTTTTGTCATAATCAGATAAAATAGAATCTCATTTTTCCAAAATCACCGGTCACCTAGATGAGATTACTTCACTAAGGAACACATATATGATCGAGAATATCCTCTTACCACTAGGTTTTCCATGTTGCGCTGTTCCAGGTGATAGCTTCGCTCGTTGACCACCTGCGTCAATTTACCCTCTAACCTTTACAAAAATACCACATCTTCCAGTAGAACGGTCAGAATGGCCTACGTTTTTGTGACATTTTTGTCGGAGATTTCAAATTTCTGAAGTTCGTAATCATGGAATTTTAAACTCCCGTAATTACCACTTTTATCCAATTAACCCTCCTCAATTACTTCCGTAATCAAATCTCCTCAGAAAATTACCACTTCATATCCAACAAACGCTAACAACCCTTTCTGGGAAAATATCATTAGATGCTCTAAATAAGAACTGCTAATTCCTCACGGCTATTTCTACTGCAAAAAAAACTAATCATTGCAGCCATTTGAAATGAAGCAGTAAATGAAATTAAATTGTTGAATTAAATGATGGACTCGCACCGATAACGAGGTGATACACGATAAGAGCAATTTCAACTGGCAGCACGATCGTGTCGCTGATTGTTTTGGTGGTTGGTTGTTTTTGATTGAGTGCAATGTGATTGCTATTCGACTAGATTCTAATGAATGAATCGAATACGCACTTTTAGATATGACATATAGCTAATTATCACACATTAAATGCAGTTACCACTTTTATAGTCCTTGTTTGATCCTAATGAATTAGTTGATCACGATAACTTCTGATCATTATCATTTTATCGACAACTGAATCGTATATGAATACATCTCAAATGAAATAAAAATCGATTCGATTTGATGCGGTCACCTCGATGCACATCTAAAGTGAATTTATGCGAAATATTCACATTGAATTAATTCAATATGTTTCATTTTCCGCTCCATTAATTCAGCGTTGACAATGAAACGATACGATCAGCAACACTATCATAGTTCGCAACCTTTCAATGAAACAAATTGTGAATCTAAAAAAACTGAGGGGAATGAGACAAGATGAGTGTATTTGTGCTGTGTCCATTCATTCATCCATTAATCCATCTCCACCCATCGATTTCCAGTCATATCAAAATTATTCTTAACCACAACTTATCCAAAAAAACAACGACGAAAAACATACAAAATACATAATTGCTTTGTTCTACTACTGAAAAAAAAGATAAAAATCTGAAAAATTAGATTCAATTAACGCCGATGAAAAAATGGATCTGTTTAATTATTCACAAGAGGATTATCAACTGTTGCATTCAACTGAATTCAATAATCGGGCTGATATATCGAATTGAGTACAAAGGCAATAACAATAATAACATCAATAAGAATAATAATATTAATAACACATCACTGAAAACGGAATGAGGACAGAATAAAAAGAGAACGAAGTTGTGCGATAAAAATGAATACCTACATATAGAAATAATGAATCATCAGAATGCATCCATCTATCACCTCCAAAACTTTCATCATTCGGTTGGCTTGGGCGGGAGTGGGGAAGGGGGGAGGATGGGGTCATATTAGTCACTCCTCTGATAAATACGTATATAAATCATGATTAGGTTCACTGATATATAGACATAAATACACATATTCACTTATACATCAATCTTTTATGTCATTTTATACGTATCTCTTTGATGCGAACACTTCTTTCCAGACGGATATATTGATTGCTAATTAATCACAATTAGTCTTTTTTATTTATTGATCTTACCACCAAATTCTATTATTTGCATATCATTACTGTCATATATTCGTTTATAAACCTCATCATCTCAAAAATCAATCCTTTTCATAAATTTTGAAGTATCGTTTTTATAATATCAACAAAAAAAGAGTACTTGTGGTTAATTGAGGCCGAAAATATTTTCTCATTGAACGAACGTATAACTTTGGAGTGAAGTTTGAGTTGAAGATGATGTATAATTAAGATGTTCAAAAAAATCTTGAGGATGCTGTAAAAATACAAACATATATAAATGCATAGACATGAATTTGGATGTAAAAGATTTATATGGATATATGAATATGGGTCAGATGTGAAAAGAAACGAGACGAATGGATAAAAGGTTCGTTCGCATATACATCATCAGATGCATAGAAATATCCCTTAAAATCTCCACCGTTATTCGTCAGCAAACAGTCAAATCATTTCCCTTAATACTATTCGGTCAATTCCTCATTAGTGCCAGTTAGAAACAGTAATTGTTGAAATCTTTCAACATTATTCGTACAGCTGTCACTGTCTTCTCTTCCTTCCGGCGGTTCCCGTCGAGAGGTCATCATCATGAGGTGCACATTTTTACTCGTTCATCTGTTCACCAGTTCATTCATTCATCCATCAATCCATTCATGCATTTCATTCATTCTGTTGCTCTTGACACACTCGTTTTTGGCACTGGATTCCCTCAACAAAACGCGTTTATGCGCCGGATTCCCTCAACAAAACGCGCAGTCCTCACGATCATCCAACGCACTCGTCCTTTTTCTTCCAGACTTCTGACCGACATAAAGGCTTCTAATGTTGACTTTTAAAGCAACCAGTTGTAGTTGATGGATTACGACAATTTCATAATATTAAGCTCAATTATACTTTCTCATGCACGTCTAGCCGTCAATATGAATATTTTCTTGATGATACGCGAATGCAATAATCCGGCGTTTGACGGCTTCGAACGGTTGTCATCCGTTCGCAACAAACGAATGAACATACGATATGTGTCTTGTAACTGAGCTGTGTGATAGTTATGCATGTACTCATTTATGAAAGTAATCATAGCCAACGTCGAGTAAAGCGCTTAACATTGAATAATGATAAAAATCTAATTAGTTGAAGAGCCATTCAAATGCGACATCGACTGATAACCACAGCATTCGTGCTGCCAATGGTAGCAAATTTTATTGTTGTTCAAGCACTCAATTATCGATGTGATAATAATCAAGTTGTTATCGTACAAGGTTTTGGTAATGACTCAATACGAATGCATTGTCAAAATCTGAATTTATGTGGTCATACGAAGTTGGTGAGTTCAACATTCAGTCAGAAGTGGTTATTATCGTTTATGATTTATCATCACGTTGCATGACTCGTATGAGAGGTAGCCTGCATATGGCCAAATAATCCATACAAAGCAAATTTTTTGAAAGCCAATCAGTCGCTCATCGAACGATCACCAAGCGCTGAGAGAACAACTAGCGCTAACAATAGTGAATAGTGGTAGTCTTGTTGAATTCATAACATGGTTAATTGATAAGATTACAGCGATGCTCATACGATTCATCACAACCGCTCTGCGGTGGTAAATCAAACTTCGTGGCACAAGTCTCACAATCGACACCCACTGCGCCGTAAGCAGCTGATTTCGCTCATCTTTTTTCAATTTCTGAATTTTAGCTAGCAAAACCGAAGAAAACCTAAATCCAGTGACGTAGGCTGAATTCTGAAGTATACACGTGGAAAGGTGGCAGAAAAGCCAAAAATTCTTGTGAAATATCTCAATTCTGCTCAATATAAACAAAGAAAGAAACAAACATTTCATTCTCCTCCAGAAGACAATTGAAAAATACGACAAAGTATACCGAAAATTCCACACTCACGTTCACATTCCTTTATGCAGTTCGTCTTTAATGAGTTCATGGAGAATCAAGCTGTAAGTTGTAAACAGTCTTCCCTCCCGCACCATCCTCTCACCTCGTGTATTATTTTTCAGCATTGCACACACATGTTGTGATATTCAATCGTGGAATGGTGACAGCACGGTGCTGCGATCACATTTGGGCAATGATTGCTTTGTTTACGAATTGCCCGACGTTGATAACAAGCTGTCATCGGCTGAAATGGGGCTCAACATGAACAGCAATGAGCATGAGGATCATTCAAAAACACAGGACGATGAATATACGCTATTGAAATTAGCCAATCAACTGCCCGATAATTTCGAAAATTACAGTGGATATCGTTTGCGATTGTTTTTACTCAAAAACAAATCGCCGCCTTTACTGATCGTTAAAGGAATCGAAAGAAGACCGTGAGTTTTTCGCAAGTTTTTGAATTATTTATTTTCAGATTTTTATTTCTCTTTTTTTTTTGTCAATTAGTTTCTCCTTACAAATATGGTTGTGACTTCATCGCTGCGATAATGCTGATGATGAAATGTGCAAGAGACAAATACGATAGACATGCATCAAGACGAGTTTGAAATAAAATTTTAAAATGTATGTACCATCTATCAGTGGTGTTGGCTGACCTAAATATAAATAAACGATTTTGAAAAAAGAATATACTCAAAAATGCAATCGCATCATGCATTTCCTATTGTTCAACATTAACAATAAACAAATCAAGAAATAATTGTCACTCATTCAATCATCAATCGCACTTCACAAATAACAATCATCAAAACCTTTCACAATTCAATCTAATCCTCCTCATTTCTTATATACGACCCTATCATCAATATGCGCTTCAATTCAACTCTAAATTTCTCATCAATTTAAATCATTTCGACTCAATAAAATAAACTCATTTATGTTAATTCAATTTGAAACGATGTTGCTGAACTTGCAAGACATTTTAAAAATTTAATTCGTCAGCACATTGCGTACATCACATAATTTAAATCATTACATATTTTCGCGAGGTTTCATTCAGTAGCGATTAAGAATTGAACTGAGAATAATGTACGTCTCTTTGCATGCACAAACCACTGATAGAATATTGATGAGGAATAGCACAAACAATAATGAAAAATTATTTAGTGATGGATATCGAGTGACAATCTGTCGACCTCGATGTGAACACGACGAACAAGAGGATGAATCATTGAAGCGCTTAAAAAGTGTTAATGATCAACAACGAAATAGCGCTACCAATAAATTGACGTCAAAGTCATTTTCATCCACCTCAAAACAATCTCAAACAAACGACCATGATCAATCGAATCTAACTTCGCACATCTCCAGTCAAGACATCACCAATGATGGTCTCCTCAAAGCTAATAGAACATTCAACGTCCAAGAAATAACACATTCAAAAACTGGTTTTACTGATGAAAGCGATCGTAATGCTTCAACTACAGAGGCTGTTCCGAGCAGTAACCAGGAATTTGCAGCAGCCGACAATAAGAGTGGGAATATTCAGGCAGGAACGAAAGTAATACAGTTACCAAGCAATGGTGAATGGATTTTGGCCACATGGTCAGCCTGGACAACAAATAGGTATGAATTTACCATGAGGTGTTTTCAGTGTTAATATTTCAGAGACATTTGTGTTGTTTGAGATGGAAGATTAAGTGTTAGAACTGATACAAAAGAGGAGTTAGAGACTTGAGTAAGAGTGATATGAGATAAGTGAATGTTCACGTTTCGCTCATGTGTTCACTCAGAACTGTTGATGCAATGAAATTGAACTGATCATGAAAGATTATTATAATGGGACTAGTTCTGATGGATTGAGAAAATTATCGGTGAAATGTTAAACATATTCGCTGTTGAATGTATCCGAATGAACAGTTTACAAATAAGATGAACAACATAAGTGGTAATACCCCTATAAGTGAACAGCTTAAGTCGATTTCATATCGTCGATTCCTTGTTATGCGCATCTGAACAATCAACTGAAACTCTCGATTCTCTCATTAACAACTCATTTCGTTCATCTTCATTCCAGGTGGTCATCATGGTCACATAGTGAATGGTCAGAATACGATGGTGGTGCCACCCAGAATGGAGAAACAAGCATGAGCGATCCAAATACTCGTGTTCGTTTCAAGAGCACTACTTCCGACGTTGCAAAAAACGACAAAAATTGCTGCAATAATAAAAACGATGAGCCTGAAACTGATGATAACAGTAGCAACAGCGGTGTCATAATGAAAACTTTAGAATCTCTAGGAAGGTTACTGAAACAAGCGATAAGTAAAGAGCGAGATCAACAACAAGAAGAATCGAATGCAAACCACCTAGGTAATGATGGTGGTGAGGATCGATCGAACGGAACTCTCAAAAACGATTTAATAAGCAGCATTCAACAACGAGCATCGGAACAAAATGGCGAACAGAAAGAAGAAATACGTCAATCAGATGGCACAAAACACACTGAGCGTCAACTATCAAATACGATTACAAACCAAAACAAAGGTGCTGACGTAACTGCTGAAGGGAAAACGATACAAATCGATAATCGAAATGAGAATACACTCAAAGTGATTATTGAGCATGAAAACTTGAAAACAGTCAACGTTGATAAAGATGATAATCGAGGTGACGTAAGATTATCATCGAATAAAGGTAACATTGTAAAAGAAAATGGTAAGAACGCTAAGTTAACAATATCAACTTCACCACCACCATCCAATACTTCTTCAGTATCAGAAAGAGAATTAATTTCGAAACATATTATCCTTTCAAGCAACAACACATCAGCTAAAGCCGAATCACCTTCAGCTGCTACTGTACCAATAACAGCAACAAAGAATACAAACGCAAAATCCTCAGCAACTAATCGTTTGGACAAAAAAAGTCATCAAAATGAACGAGTTCACGAGGACAACATCGAATTGGTTACCGATAAACCCAAGTCCAAATCAGCTGCTAGCAACACGCTTGATAATGACAAAAATAAAAAGAAAGAGACAGAACGAACTGCGAGCAATAGTCATCAACAACCACAGCAAACAATACCAACAACGATGAATCCAACCAAAACCACTCTGAAAGGTGAGTGACCGTTCATCGAACTATGCACTATCTTCGATCAATCACTGTATACATTCCAATGGTACTCGTTCAATCAAAATGATCATGTCAAAAAAGAAACAATCATCAGATAAAGAAGTGAGTAATTTACTGACCTGTTTAGGCTAGTGATTATTGTACGATAAGTTATTAATCAAAGTGATATCATTGTGGCGTTCATGTAGAATAAATTATAGGTCGTAAACAAGCTGCATCCGATGAGCGTCAATCACCAGAGGACGCCTCGATGACAAAACGAACACGAATCACATCCAGTGATATGAATAACAGTCCAAACAATAATGATAATAACAAGCAAACATCCAACGAAACTGCAACTGACAATGTAAACGTCGAAAAAGAGGATATAAATGTTATGAATATTATCAATGATACGATACCTTCCGAAATGATCTTCAGTGGAGGAGATAATGTGGAAAATAGCACAAAAATTACGATAAAAGAAGGTTCGTGCACTTATGAAAGTTTATTGGAATGAAATTCATAAACAACAGAAGCTGGTCGAATCACTGCCTATTTAGACGGGTTATTCTGACAATCGCTTGAGCCGGTGCATACACAGTCACTTTTAAGACGGGTGCGCCTTTGCAATAGGCAAATTTGATTTGTTTCAGCTGCAGAACAACTGTTGGCTGAACTGACAACTGGTGGTGGTGGTGTTGGCGCGACTGGCGCTGAGGTTGAGGCACGAGCACGACAAAATAAGTCTGAGCCTACGACCGCGGCTGGAACTGTACCACCAATTCGAACCGAAGATCTCGCAGTTGAGGCCGCAGCTAGATCAGCCGGAACGCAACCTGCTCCAACTGGGACCAAACCTGCTCTAGCCGGAGATGAATCTGCTTCAGCGGTTGCTAAACTAGCGGCCGATCCAGCAAAATCCGGTACTGCTGGAGCAGCACCATCAATTGAACCAGTAGTCCGAGCCGCAGTTGCAAGACTTCAAGCGGCAGACGCCGCTAAAGGTGGTGCAGCAGCCGGGATGAACTGCTTCAGTGCGGATACAATGGTACAAACGCAGAATGGTTTAAGACGAATGAAAGAAGTGGAAGTTGGCGATTACGTGAGTTGATATGTGCTGATTTGATCGCAATATTATGATAGAATTGCACTTACATTCAATTACGATTGAAACTGACAAGATAGAGGATAAACGATTGAATGAAGCAAATATGAAACAAAAGAAACGAAGCAAAATCAAACTTCTCAACAAATTACATTCAATAGTTGTTGTGCATTCAGATTTTGGTGCCTGCTGCTGGGAATGTGCTAAAATACGAGCGAGTCGAGATGTTCTACCACCGTGAACCAGAAACACGCGCTAAATTTGTCGAATTGAAAACCGCAAGTGGACGCTCGTTGACTTTGACGGAACTTCATTTGCTGCCATTGGGGGAATGTGAGCAAATGCGAAGTAAATTACTCACGGTGGGAAGTATCGATGAGTGGCTACGAAAATCCAGATTCGCTTACAAGGCTAGACGGGGTGATTGCGTGCTTGCAGTCAGTCAAACTGGACAACTGTTCGCGGATCCCATCACAAAGGTGCACATTTCATTCAGAACACTTGACATATAATCATCTTTCAGTACTTTTCAACATCGTATTCTGCTTGTCATAACCTCAAAATCCAGGTGTATTCTGACAATTGCTAGCCGAAAATGAACCATTTGAATGAGTTTCTCATATCATAGAATGGAAAACATATCTGCATCCATTCATGAATTTTTGTGGCAATTTCACAAATAAATGGGACACATCAACGAGAACAACGAGAACGGCACATTTTATCCAACTTTTACCTGTCTTTTTTGTTAACACAAGCTAATTGACTAATAAACAAATGAATAAGCTTCCGTTAATTCATTCATTGATTTGCCATTGCATTTCTGTTTTCATACTTAACATGTTTATCGTAACATAGAACAGCTAATCATTCTTGTCAATTGTAGATCGGTCGGAGATTGCTGAAAGGAATTTATTCACCGATAACCGTCGAAGGCTCAATAGTGACCGATGGTGTGCTAGCGTCATGCTTCTCACAAGTCGAAAGTCATTTTGTGCAAAAGCTCGTTTATGATTTCATGATGCTGTTCTATCGAACATTTGATTATTGTCATTTCCTTCATTTCATTCAATGGTCCACTTCTTTGACACATCCCATACAACATCTACCGTCATTTATTCAATTCATTCATCACATCAGTCGATACATTGTTCCGTTTGCTAAATACTAACCAACTGCGTCATTTCAATTCAGCTTCACTAAAGAATTTTTGCTAAAACAGATTGCTAAATACCTTCTTAACCACAAAAACTGTGATATTAATTTTTTGTGAGAATTTACTAAGCTCATCATACTTTCAAATACTTGTTTGTGTACATATAATCTAGAACTGAATTGGTTTCTATGATAAAAGGACATCGAAACGAAAATATAAGATGAAACTCACCAAAATTGATCAAAAAATGTTTCACTAATTTTTATTTGTTTTTGTTATTATATTCAGTTACAATCTACACATGTATTTGTATACATGTTTTGGCATTGCACCGTTATACCAAACGTCTTTCATGACTGGAGCAAGCCAGCCTGAGTCTATATACGAGTCGAGTTTTTTGAATTGTTGCGATTAATGTCGCACACAACTGTAAAAATTAATTTATTTCGAAAGAACGTTTCTTTTTGTTTGTTTAAAAAATAATTATTTCGTGAAATAAATGTATGAAAAAACAAATATAATTAGCACAACAATTATTATTATCAGTTGCAGCGCGCGATCAATTTCCATCTGCTTAGCATGACTAGTTCGGAAGCGATCGGTCGGCACCCGACCGACCTAGAAAATCGATCAAGAGATTCAATATTCCCGTTCACAGCACCCTTTGGGCCGAGACGTGAACGTAGGCCCAAACCTTTAAGATGCAAGATGTGCATGTGTACACGTTCAGTGCGAAGTCACTGTTATCCGAGCCGCATCTAATGAAGTTTGAAGAGGAAGTGACGGAAGTCATTGAAAATATGAGGGAAAGGAAGTTTAATGGTCGATCAAAGGTAGCGGAAGACTGAACAAAAAATTTACAGAACGGTAACCGAGGTGTTGGAAAAGAAATATGGGGAGACTGAGCATGAGATGGGGAGATGCGATCTGCAAGTTGATCAGTCAAAACTGGATGCAGAAGTGATAGTGATTGTGATGCTTTTAAAGAGGCGTAATGAATGTTGATGGCTGATTAAATAAATAAATTAATCAATAATGAACAAATTTATAAATAACTAACATTTACAATGAATAATTAATAGCGTTCACAATTAGTTTGTACCATATTACTTTCGCACTTAATCCTTTAATCAGTCACTATTAATGAAATGAATTTCGAAAATTTCAAAGCTTATTTTCCTGCCTTCCACAGGTCGGATATTGTTGTCGGTATCCGCGGTAAACGATCGTTTTCCAGTCTCCTACTTAATCGATCCACCATCACATCTAAACAGTATCCAAGTCTCGAAATCTCCATTCACAAATAACAAGCACAATGGATTATTTACTTTTGATCCCTGTCAAAGGATCGAATACTTGTGTTAGTTGCAAAGTTATCAATCCAATCACCGTATCATTTAACCATAACTTATAGTTTATCAAAGGAGTCGCAAATAAGACAACATAAAAGATGTGTCACGAAACGATAATTATTCGCTTTTTAAAGCAGAAATTTTTGCAACAACAATGGCACAAAAATGAAATATGGGTCGTTGAGTATGAGTAATATGAGTTATTTGCGTCGTTTAGAGGATTGAAATTGAGATGGATGAGTAATTATCAGCAAACATAGTTTATTACCGAAGGAGTTATTGCTGGGACTTGATGGCAGACACAAAATGTTGACGAAGAAATCGAGAATTTGCTTGTCCAACTGAAATGTTCTGCTCATACCGATTATTTGAGCATTTGTGTTTTGTAATGATTCGAGTAGAGAGCACAGCATTAGTTTACGAATCGATTTTGTCTTTGCCTTCTTTCGACAATCGTTGAACACTTCCAAGTGGTCGATTTCCACAACGCAATAGTTGTCTCGTTTCGCAAACTTCAATACAAATGAAGTTATCTTTTGGTAAATTTCTCCAAAATTCAATTGAAATTTTATCTCGAATTGCTCGAAAAGGTTCTCAAATAAACTGTCAATTTTATCAATCGAACCGTTCGACAAACAAAAAAATCATGAAGCGTAGTTCACTGTTCGTCCGCACAGTCAACCAGTCAGTGGAGATGTACTGGTATTATCCACAAACGATTTATAAATTTATGAAATGCAAGAAAAGGAGAAAATCTGCAACAATAATTATGGAGAAAAGTTTTCATGAAGCATGAACCTGTTCGATTGTACGTATCAGTTTTTTAGCTCCCTTCAGGGCAATCTCTTTGGCTGATAAAGAAACACGCGTTGCTGCACAAAATTCTGCAATGGCACAACACCATGCTGTTTTCCCACAATTTTCGTCACCAACAATTAGAAGCGAACCACGTCGCAGATCATTGCCAGCAAAATTCCATGACTTGAGAACTGAACAAAAACAATTTTTTGTGGTGACCGAGTATTACTCTCAGGATATTTTCTTTCGTCAAAAAATATTCCGAATGAAGCATAAACATGATTAAACATTACATAATACACACTAGTGACGGCATCTGAGCGAAATGTCGTGTCAGTTGGAATCCGACCGATTTGACTATTCATTAGAAGGAAATTAAGCTGAAGCTTAAAGAAGTAAAAGCTGTGTAGGCAATACGCATAGACCGAAAGCGAAAAAAAAATTGCCTCATGTAAACAACATCGTTCAGCAAAATATATGATATTTTGAATTTAGAGATTCCGCTCGATCGAATGGTGTAAAGAAATTGAAATGTTATTGGGCAAATGAGAGTACGGTAGGTTTGAATATGGTAACCCGTGTAGCACTGAGATAGCATTAAGAATATTAAAAAAATTAGTAATGTAACAAAAAAATTAGTAAAGTAAACCAAATTAAACCAAGTAAACCATCGATCTATCCACTTACTATGCGGTATAACAGTCGTACAATAAACAATCGTTCGACAATCAAACAGTAGTCGTTTCGTTTTGCCGATATGTGCCATACAAGTGAACGTTATCAAATCATTCAAAGAAATGCATTCAGTTTTGGGACGGTGTTTTATAATATCTGCGATTAGCAGTTCATGGTAGAGACTTTCTGCAAGGATGAACATGAACATGAAGTTACGAGGTAAACTGGCAATAGAAGCCAAATTGCTTCTGCTGAAATTTAGACAATTTTCGTGGCGCTGAGTCACACTCCGAGTTTAGGCTGCTGCTTATCACGACAAGTGTGCAGGCTGTTTTCCGACCGTTTTGGAGGCTAAATTTGCAGAGTTATGGCCCCTACTGACACACTGCTTCATGTATAAACGCAGTTGAACAAATCAGTTCAAATGATATGCATAGCAATCAAAGCGGAGCAAAATTTCATTCACCTCGTTTATCATCGCGTCGTCCCAATTTATCGCTCTCTTTCACTTCATCGTTTCCATACAAATCAACAAAAGTCGTTTTCAACAACAAATTTTCATGCATTTCCATCAATAACCCACTCAATGATATGCTAGTGAAATGCTGCTGAAAAAGTGACAAAGCATCATAATAATTTACAGATTCATCTTAATGGTACTCACAGTTTCATCAATAAAATATGTCGATGATCGCTCATCCGAATCTATTCACGCATACAAATAGATTGTCGACGCAGTGCGTCTCTTCGTGACAATACGGCTAACAAACACGGCAACGAACCAACAATTTGTGCTGCCGAATGTGACTGATATGAACATAACCATGAACATTCCGCGTATATCGAATGCCTTTTCTAGCATCGATTTTCGATCGTAACAAGCTTTCAACGTTCATTTCAAGTACTTTCATCTCAGCATTTCGCCAGTTGTTAACCATTTTTCTAGCTAACATACCACGGGTTCGCTATAAACAGTAACTACATATGCATATACGCGGATGCTAATTTTCGTCAGCCTTTCTCAAAACAATAATAAAAACAATACCAATGATAACAGTATTTGCCAATAATGGGAACTGAATGCTCGATAACAGAAACTCAAAAAGCATCGTACCGCTTGAAGCATAATAATCGCTTTTAAAGGGTCCACTGGTTTGTGTGATGTCTTTAAGTCGTATGCTTTTCGACGTATTTCTTTTAGATAGTTGAATCGAGTAACTGATTGATAGACTAAAGTTGAAATACAATTAAATTCGAACCGAATGATCATTGATGGATCAAGTCAATTTTCTCTAATCGCAGCAGCCGATTGATTAATTGAATAGCTACTCGATTCACGAATTCCAACAATCGATCGCTTCCTATTGTTTATGGCAACAGAGATTTTATTGAATTTCGTAAGTAAACATGTTCCAAGAAGGGAATCGTTCAACTCACGAACCTCTTTCCCAACACTGAACAACTGTACACGCTTCATCGATACTGTACAACATTTCTCCTTCAACTGAAGAAGTAATCTCAATCAGTTCGTCGTCCTCACCAATTTCTTTCGAATAACTCCCGAATTTTCGTACACATTTCTGCATCTCGATAATTTTGCCATATTCAATACGCTCATTCTCCAGTTGAAATCGTTCAAAACTGACCAATTGTGATGAAACCATAACGCTTTCATTCCACTCGAAACAACAGTAATTGCAATTAAAATACGAATAATAATGAGATAATAACAAATACCAATAGATGTTAGTGATAACCTTATAACAACACAAATACCAAAAAGATAAAATTTGTGCTCACTTCATCTCTGGGTGTGAAATTAAAGCGTTGCGTGAATATGGTTGGCAAGTGCTCATTGAAGTGAACAAGCATATAGCGATAGAAATGCACATGCAGTTGCTTGGTGGCACTCAGTAAGGCGAGTTGATCGCGCACCTTGATTTCATTCAGTGAACATACTCATTTGAAATGCTCAATCTAATGTCATCATTCAATATTACTTTCAGTTAAATTTAATCCTCGACGACATTATTTATTATAAAAACAAGTAGAATATATTTTTAACGAACTTGGCGTGTTATAAATAAATGATCGTCAAGAGCGGCGATGAGTTGCGAGAGTATTGCAAATTGCTTATACACTAGCGATATTCTTCGATCTTTTTCTCCAATGAACTGGAAAGGAGGCATAAAATACTGAACGAAATCTCGTTGTAAATTTACTCTTTTCATTCTAAGAAAGTTCCGTGAGCTTCATTCGATTTAATGAGATTCTTTCAATTGCATTTGTCACATCATGGTGCATAAGTATTCATTTGATACTCATCAAACAAACAATATTCATTCTACACATTTAGTATTGCCCAATCTAAACCAAACTCAGAAACCAAGTTTTTGTTGAGTCATGCACCTAATCTCGTGTTTTTGTCCACAGTTGCACGATTAAGATAAATATTAACCTTGCGATTGATTGCTCTCTTTATCAGCATAGAATTGTTGTTGTTGGTCATTTCATTGAGACATCGTTCTGTATCAACGGCTAATTTCAATAGATTAATCACTATATCACCTGATGATTCTTCAAACATACTCCTCTATCCTACTGCTATTACTATCGTGAAATTTCTTGGTCATTGTTATTATTTTATTATTATTATCATTGATATTATTGCTATTAGCACTATAATTAAAATAATTCCACTATCATAGTGCAATTATATCATTTGATGAAAACATTCGTAATTTTATTGCTTGATTGCTCCCAAATCGTCATTGTCGCCATTATAATCGTCCCATAAGTCTGCATATTAAAATTACTGCAATAAATAAAGGAAAATATTTTGAGTCATGAAGATATGTTTGTAGAATAAACATAATAATAATTGATAATGACATGATTGAATAGGTAATCAGTAAAGAATAATGATAAGGCCAGTATCAATACTAATCATAACCATAACAGTAGTAATGAATTTTAGTCATAACAATAAAAGAGGTGAATATAATTCATCGAAAAGCACCAAAATGTCTTGCTATATACGAAATCAATCAGCCTGAACATCACCAACGTCAACTGAGCAACGCAACCAACCGTCTATGAAATACGCATTCTGCATCAATGATTCTTCCACGCTTCAATATTTCTCGAATTTTTGAAATCTTAGAAGCATATACAATTTCTCTATATGTCACAAATCGATTCGCTATCAAAATTACCAAACTGCGACATTTTGAGGAGTCTGTAATGGAGAAATGGCTTTCTTAATTAATTTCAAACATTGGATTAATGCAACGATAGTCACAAGTTCAATTCCTAAAGGGTCACTATAATTTTTGCAAATGTGTTAACTACGTCACATAGCATATCATGTTCAGGAACCTCGCATTCTCAGCTTCGTTAATAATTGAAATAATTTCTTATGCAATCCTGATAGAGCAGTTTTTGACCTATAAGCAAATCGCATGACTGCGGAGAAAATTGCCTAGTTCCAGAGATAGAGCTGTTTTTAAAGGTATCTCCTCGATATTTAAATATCATGAGTACCATACGATCTGTATCATCATGCTTGCTTACGATCATTAAGTGGATAGTTTCTTTATATCGTCGTATTGAGCAGACTCTCTCCTGTCAAGAAAGTGCGACGGATAATGCTCAGTTCCAGAAATACAACAACTTTTGTAAAAATATATCACACACCAGCCATACTCAATCAATAATACGATATCAGATTTACCGTTTTCAAGCCATTTCTGCCCACAGATTACTTCAGTATTGGACATTTACGTAAAAAGAACCAATAAGCGATGATCTTCCAACCTCATGATTCCCTCTCCAATTCCCAAGCTGCTTCTCTCTTAGACCAAACTACTTTTACGCTCTAAGACAACCTCTGAATTAGAAGATTGCAAGGACAGTTATTGGTTCAACTCCTTAAAAACTGGCAATCATCAATCAAAAAGAAAACATGACCATTTTGTTTTCCGACCGACTTTGCTACTGAATTGGCGTAAATGAATGTCACTTACTCTCAAGCACAGTTTGGGACTACTTTGCTAGTTCTAGCCGAGAAACCTGAAATTGACCCCGTACCGAATTCCACCCTTACATGAGTGATTAAACTGAAAACATACTAAATCAACTGCTTTATTTTCGAATGATGCATCGAAAACCATCACTCACAATTTTATAAGCAAGATTTAATTGAATGCTCATTGAGGAACAACAAGAACACAACACAAATTCCAAAACAGAAATAATACGATCCAAATATGCAAATATAATCAACTTCCCGGCCTTCGATCAACGAAAAAAAACACTTCAAAGACAGTGACAATGAGAACAAACGAATGCAATGATTAATCATTAACAGAGATAATAACCAGTCAGCAGTGAATGAACATTAATAACAAACAATACAAAACATTTATTATTACTGATCCGTTTGATCCTGTTGCTGTCTTCTCAGAACCGCTCCGGGTGCCGGATATGGCCTTTGCTGGAAAAGTGGTCCGCTTGCCGTCACGTCTGCGCCAGTTCGATCGTGTGCATGCAAACCAGAACTCCATTTTCCCACCGGAACATTATCACCATAAGCTGCCGGATCCATTGGGTCGATGCCCTTACGTTTAGCACGTCCTAAATGCAAACAGAAACAATTTCCATCAGAATATATCCCAAGTGAAGTCAACTTTCAACGAATATCAGCCAACTCTCCAAAACTTGAAATCAAATATTAACTTAATGCAAATCGTCAAATTCTTACTTAATTTATCACGTTCATTCAATTCAGGCCTTCGTTCATCATCACTATTTGATTTAGTTGTCATCGACAACTTATCGCCATCATCTTCGAAACCTTTCCGCTGAAGCAAAGATCCCATAAATTTGAACAAGTAACTTTTAAAAAATTATATTGTCGCACATGATTGATTTTTTTAAACCGCTCTCGATGGAGCCAAATAAAGGCGAGTTAATGCTACAAATCGATCGCTTACGCTTGCTTACCTTGCGTTGTTTTAAACGATCAATAGTAACGTCACGTTTCGTCATTTCATCTCGGCGGTACGATCCCCCCTCTTTTTCATTCAGTGAATTCTTTTCCACTTCATTTTCGTCCATTCTGCGCTCACGATCACCACCAATTTCTTTGTTGTCCATATCAACGCCCACACCATTCGTATTTTCACGTTTTTCGAATAGATCTTCAATGAAAAAAAAAACAAATTTTATACTTTGAATCTCTCCCCTCGCCGTACTGTGAAGAAAACTTTTGAATGTGATTGAACGTTCCACTGAAATTTTGAGAATGGAAACTTGACAATGCTTAACACTTTTTGAGAAGTGAAAACCTTTTGAAACTTTCGGCGCCGCATCACCAATCACCGCTAGCGGATGACGAGGCGGTAACCATGAAACTTCGTCCGTTCTCGGATACCAATAATAGTGACGTGCACAGCCCGGATCATACACTTCTTTCCAGCCTTTTCAATGGCATAATTTTATTGGAAACTCTTATTTTTAAACACTCAAATGCCTAACATTTGAGATACTCATTTAAAATTTTTCCATAGAAAATTTTAATTTCGATTCACAAACTTCTTTTGGTTATCCAGAAAGATGATGTTTCAAAAGGCCGAACAAGTATGAGGGATGCTGGCTTGAAAATGAGCTGGAAATAATGGAGAAAACGAACGATTAAAAATTAGAACCAACAAACAAGCATACCACTAGGTAGTGGATATTTTTTCAAAATCTTCAAACGTTCTTCTGTATATGCCTTCGGCAACCTACAATACAAAATTAAAATGAGTGAGAATTTATTATTGGAACAACATAAAATGAAAGAACAACAAATATACACTTTTCTGCAAGTGTATTTCAAAAACTTAATGCACGGTATTTTATTGAAATGGATAATTTCTGGAAAAGAACTAACGAATTTTCACTCGTTCCGTCTTTCCAATGATCGTAGCAAAACTGCACGCAATAATGATATGGATTATATTTGTTTGGGCAACCCACTGCACCCGAAGCATTTGTGTCCTTACCCGAACGGGTAGATTTTTGGGGCACAGAAGTTGCTTCGGCGTCGTAATTTTCCGCTATGACTTCTTCATTTGCATCTGAGAAAAATGAAGAATGCAGCGGAGGATGGTCAATACCCTAGTCTAGTTGAATTTGAATCAATCATTTAAAACATGTAGAATACGTTTTAGAACACAAAAGGTATGAGTAAACATCAAACAAACAAAATCACACACCTTCTTGTATAATACCACGTCTTTTAAGACGTGCCATCAAGGCTGGTGGTAAAGGCATCGTTCATTGAGTCAATCAATGATATTCAATCCAACAATCTCACTCGATTAGAATAGAACCAGTTGAATAGATCGGAAAAAAATTAAATGAATGTGCTGCTTTGCGACGAAGTTAACGGGATTTAGCGTACGAAAAATTCCTAAGATTTAGAGGTTGAAATGAACTCGAGTAACTACTGAGTTTAATGAACGAGTTGAAACATAAACTGGAAAGGGTTTGATGAGTAATGGAACAAACCAGCTAGGAGAAATATTCGAATTTAATTACAAGGAGCAGTTAGACGTGAAGCTTTTATTTGGGTGGAGGGGAGGGGGG